ATGGTATGTGGCTCAGTATAAGTCAGATCCCTCTTCTATTTTTCCAGTCTCTGGAGGAAAGCTTTCCAATTCTCTCCATCGTTTAATGCAACTATATGATTATCCCCGTTTACCATCCTTTTGCACTCTGCAGTCTTAAAACTGCCGCTCTGGCCCTGGAACATTTATGGTGATGTTCTTTTTCTAAATGTGAATAATGATGTTTTCCCAAGAAGTACGGTGGAACTAAAAAAAAAAAAAAGAACAACAGAAATATTTTTAAATCACATGTGCTGAATATATTTAGAAGTTAAGGGGCCTGTTTAAAAGTAATAGAGGAAGAGACTGGTTGCAGAAAAAAAGGCAACAGGAAATAACAGGACAATGTGGAGGAAATAGATTTTTCCCCCTACCTTCTCTCGTAATGCCAGAACAGGGGAGTCATTCAGTGAAATTAATTAGCATTTGATTAAGGGCAGTAAGAAAAACACACTTTTGAAAGGATCTGATGACCCTTTTGCCCCTGTTAAAAATATTTCAGATGTGTTTGTCTAGTTATAGTACAATACAGCCTGCTGGACAAGATAGGCTGTTGGCATAATCTGGGAGATTCCTATATTTTTTTAAAATACTTAAAGATAGGAACCTAACATGTAATCGACCTGGTTCTACAATAGAATTTTATAGAGTCCAGATGATGCTGTTTTTATTTGTGTGGTTTTATTTGCGTTTTTCTATAGCTTTTCTTTCTGCAGGAACAAAACAGGTCTTAATAACTGCAGAATTGCTTTTGATTATATCATACAACCTGGGAATACTTTTGTTACCATTGTAAGTAAGCGACAACTAATTCCAACCTTAGGCTTGGAATTTGAAATATGGGTAAGGAAATCATGGAATCATAAAAAAGTTGAAAGGGATCCTGAAGGACATCTAATCTAATTCCTGCTAAATGCAAGAATCTACTACTACGGTGTGCCCAGCAATGGAGATCCAGCCATCTAATTAAAAACTCTGACAAGTAAGAGCCTACTCCATCCATAGGCAGGCTGTTTATTTGACAGATCTTACATAAGGGGATTATATAAGGATATTACATATTATTATTATTATTATTATTATTATTATTATTATTATTATTATTATTATTATTATTAATGATAAAGTTGGAAGGGACTTTGGAGGTCATTTAGTCCAATCCCCTGCTCAGGCAGGAAACCCTATACCATTTCGGACAAATGGCTGTCCAGTTTCTTCTTAAAACTTCTTATATTAGGAACATATAAGAAATCTACTTTCTTATAATTTAATCCCATAGTTTCTTGTCCTGCCTTCTGGACAAGAAGTTGTCCAGTTGTTTCTGGGTGGATAGTAAGGGATCATTATCACTAGTCTAGTGGTTAAGCCACCAGGCTAGAACGCGGGAGACCGTGAGTTCAAGTGTAAGCTTAGCCGTGAAAGCCAATCGGGTGACTTTGAGCTAGCCCAGGGGTAGGCAACCTTGGCTCTTTTATGACTCGTGGACTTCAACTCCCAGAATTCCTGAGCCAGCATGGCTCAGCTTGGAAACCTCTCCCTTTCCCCTCAGCATGGCTGGCTCAGGAATTCTGGGAGTTGAAGTCCACGAGTCATAAAAGAGCCAAGGTTGCCTACCCCTGAGCTAGCCATTCACTCTCAGCCCAACCCAACTCACAGAGCTGTTGTTGTGAGGAAACTAGGAGGAAGAAGGTCTGTTGGATAGGTGTGCTGTTTTCGAGTTATTTGTAAAAACAATAAAAGCAGGATACGAAGAAATAAACAAATAAATAAAGGACCCTAGCAACATTTCCATCACATCCCTGATGTATGTCCCAGGAAAGCAGCACACTTTTCTTAATGGGCCATCCAGTTGGCAGATTGCTGCTTTATCCTTCTCAGCATCTCAAATAATACAGTCCTCTTCAGTGTGGGGGTAAAAATCTATTGTTGTGCAGTCTGTTGAGGTCTTTTCCTTAATGCCTGAGACCATGGCTGTTGCATTCATCCAACAGAAATATTGATTAGGAGACTCTGAAACTTTAGAGAACCAGAGCTCATCTTGACGGGCTTAGGCCTTTAGTTCATGCTTTATCTATCTCTCCCATACTCTTTTGTTTTTTTAAAATATTTTTCTGGGAAGCTTCATGATACCATTGACCTTCCATAAGACTTTCACTGGAGAAGAGCCTAATGCTGGGAAAGATTGAGGGCAAAAGAGGAAGGGGATGACAGAGAATGAGGTGGCTGGATGGAGTCACTGAAGCAGTAGGCGTGAGCTTAAATGGACTCCAGAAGATGGTAGAGGACAGGAAGACCTGGAGGAACGTTGTCCATGGGGGTCGCGATGGGTCGGACACAACTTCACAACTAACAACAACAACAATGTTCGAAATTATGCAAATGCTAGTAGATAAATAGGTAACCTCTTCAGTGGGAAGGTAACAGTGTTTTGTGCCCCTTTGTGTATAGCCATGCTGACCACAGAAAATGTCTTTGGACAACTCTGGCCCCCTCAGCAAAGAAATGGAGATGAGCATTGCCCCCTAGAGCCAGATATGACTGTGCGGGGAAAAACCTTTACCTTTAATTAACGTTCAAGCTAAGCGAATGAAAAAATGGCTTTTGAGGGTTGGTAAACATCAAATGTTAAATTTAAAATGTTAATCCTATCAGCAATGGAGAAAGCAAGAAAGAGTTTTCAAAATCTAATCTTTCTTTTTATGGACTATCAAAGTAGCGCTAACAATTATAAACACATTTGTTTTAGAACAGCAATTAAAAATTAACACAAAGTTAGTTTTGACTTTCAAAAAAGGTGAAGGCGCTTACCCGGAACCCAGTCACATGCTCCCATGTTGGCTGTTAATGATCAAAAAGTGCCTTGTAGCCATTTGAACGGCTGCCAACATCACCCACTGCTGAGATACAATAAAAAAAAGTAATTGAACTGACATGCTGAAATACAAGTGTGTTAGTGTGCTTGTGCTAATGGGTAGCAATGGAAACACATGATCTTGTTGCAGGGAGTTGCAAGAAGTATTTATATGTGCAACTCATGTCAGAGAGTGCTCACAATTTGGCCACATCTGTAGACTCTTGCTAATTGTTGCTTAATTCTACAGTAAATCCAGATGCAAGCTCCAATGCAGTGCATTAATGGATGCAGGTGGATACAAGAATAGAATCATTCGCAATCTTGTCTTTGGTATACATTTCTGTTTCATTAATTCTTTTTCATTCTTTCAGTCAATCACATATTTCTGTGCTGCTCCTTCACGGGTTCTAGATGGCTCATGCCCATAAAACAACAAAATGTACCTAAACTCACAATAATAGGCAATAATTAAACAAAATCATGTTGGCTAATTTAAGGGCTGCCTTCCCACCCCCACCCCCAACCCCCTGAATACCTGGCTATTATTGCAGTCTTCTTTTCCAAGGCTTTGCAGAAAAGCATAGTCTTTATTGTAGGAAACACCAGTATCTTCATATAGTTCAGCTCAGTTTACATTTCAAGCATGTTCTTCTTTACAATCTGCATGAAGCGCTGGCAAAGACGATGCCATCCTGACACATTGGCCTTCTGCCTTTTATAAATCCTGGTTCTAGAACCCCCAGGGACCTGCCATCACCTCCTTCTCTCGCCCCTTTTTATTTTATTTTAATTTTTAATTAAATTATTTACTTATTTTATAAAATATTTTGTTTTAGTTCCTAGCAATTTGGTGGTCTTTTCTCTGCCAGTGCATCCCATTTGTTGGCCTTCTGCTCCTTTACTTTAAGATAGACCCAAGGACAGGGGTGTCAAACTCAATATCACTGAGGGCCGCATCAGCATTGCGGTTGCCCTGGGGGGCCCGGGTAGGTGTGGCCAGAGTGGGTGCAGCCTACTGGGTGGGCATGGATGGAGTGGGTGTGGCCTACTGGGTGGGCGTGACCAGTTCTACATCATTCGCGTCAAGAGTGCCTATGGAAGCCTGGGCAGGAGTGGAACAGATCTGAGGGTCTCTGGCAGAAGGGGGTCGGACCTGGGCAAGTGCCAAGGCATCGTCCACTGGGGCAAGTGCCAAGATGGCCACCACAAAATTGTACATTGGCTCCCGGCTGGCCTGGGCCAGGGCCAAGGCAGCGGGGGCCGCTCCCTCACTGTTTCCAGGATGGCTTCACGGGCCACATGAAACCACTTTGCGGGCCGCATCTGGCCCCCAGACCTCGTGTTTGACATGTCTGCCCAAGGACAAACTTCCTGTCCATCTGTCCATCCAAAAGTCGCCTCAGGTGAGGTGGGCGGCTACATAAATTTGATTAATAAATAAATACTGAGGTGGCCATCTTTATCCTCCTCCTCCTCCTATGGTTTGTATTTTCACTTTTATGATACTGATATTTATTATTATTATTTTATTTTGTACGTTTTTTGTTTCTATTAATTGTTCTTACTGATTTGTGTTTGTCACCCAGAGTATCCTTTGCTGAGATGAGTGGCTATATAAAATTGATTAAAAATATACATAAATCTTCACATTGGCCTACATCAGGGGTAGGCAACCTTGGCTCTTTTATGACTAGTGGACTTCAACTCCCAGAATTCCTCAGCCAGCATGGCTAGCTCAGGAATTCTGGGAGTTGAAGTCCACAAGTCATAAAAGAGCCAAGGTTGCCTACCCCTGGCCTACATGTTTAACAAAGCTGGGATAGGTGGATTTTGTCATGGTCAATCAAAGAAACAAGACCAAATTTTTAATTTACTATATATACTATATAGTATATACTATATATATAGTTGAGCATATGCCAAAAGGACAAAAAAAAAACAAACCCCAACAACCCCAACCCCTGTTCTTTGTAACATCTTATTGACATTTTTTCACTGTAAATTTCACTTTTTATAATGTGCCTAATGAGGTCTTTGAATTATTTAAAACTTCCTGAAATCTGATCTTGGTTTGGAAGTACTTAATTGGGATTAGCTGTTTAAATAATGTTCTTTTTCCTTTTTATAGGTCCTTTTGTTCTGTGTAACAGCTGCCCTGTTTATGTTCTTTTTCAGGTATGTTGCCAATACTTTTCTTACTTTATGTTAAAAGTTTATTTTAAAATGGAAAGTGCTGTGCTTTTATATCTTTGCCCAAATAGAAAGTTCTTATTCTGAAAGAAAAAATAAATAAACTGCTGAAGTATAGTTAGATTTCATTGCAAATTTAATTTTCTTGGGATTATATTATATAACACCATGTATAAGAAAGCTCAGGAAACATTGGGAGAGTGCCCAGTAAGGAGTTAGTTATTCATTTGCTTTTAACACAATGAAACATCCATTGCATATGGCCATTTCCTACTATTGTAGTTCCATAGCCACCTATTGCTAGCTCCAAAACCACTTATGGTTATTAATTTTAACATGACAGCCAAGAAACAAATTCTCTGGGGAAACATTGTGATGACATACCATGATGGATGTACATATAATGATATTATTTTTTTTCTTGCTCTTCCATCTAAAAGCATTGAATTTTACAAAGGCGTTCTGTTTTATTCTAACTTAATTTCTGCAAAAAAGGGAAAATTCTAACCCTGAGAATGAAATAAGGAGAATTAAAATAAGGAGAGCCAGTTTGGTCTAGTGGATAAAGCACCAGGGTAGAAAATGGGAGACAATGAGTTTAAAAAACCTTTATTTTCTTTGTGTGGCTTATACATTAGATCAGGGGTAGGCAACCTTGGCTCTTTTATGACTTGTGGACTTCAACTCCCAGAATTCCTCAGCCAGTGTGGCTCAGCTTGGAAACCTCTCCCTTTCCCCTCAGCATGACTGGCTCAGGAATTCTGGGAGTTGAAGTCCACGAGTCATAAAAGAGCCAAGGTTGCCTGCCCCTGCATTAGACCAATGTGGCTATACATTAGATCAGTGGTTCTCAACCTTTTTAATGCCGCGACCCACAACCGGTCGTAAGCCGAGGACTAAACCGGTCGTAAGTTGAGGACTAAACCGGTCGTAAGTCGAGGACTACCCAACCGGTCATAAGTCCCTGCCCGGGAGTGCCGCGCATGCGTGGTTCCGCCCCCTGCGCCGGCCGAGGCGTAGCTGGCAAGTGGCAGAGACGGAGCAGGCCGACCACCAGCTGGCCCAGCCCAAGGGAGGTAAGGCACCCCCCGGAAAAGGGGGAAAAATGGCAGACAGCCTTGCTTGGCGACCCCCGTGAAATGGTCGATCGACCCCAAATGGGGTCCCGACCCATAGGTTGAGAACCGCTGCATTAGATCAAGGCTGCTTGATCTTAGCAGTCTTAGGATGTCTGGACCTCAATTGTCTCGCTGGGGAATTCTGGGAGTGAGAGTTGTGCGGACTTACAATAATTACGGTGGTTACCTAAGAAGCAATGGCATAACCAGTATTACAGTTTGATGAGATTGAGAGGGATATTATTATTTATCCCCTGCTTTCAACATCAGTATTCTAGCAGACAGAAAGAATACGTAATACGTTCTGCACAGAGATGCTTTTGAAGATGGCTCGGAAGCTGCAGTTGATTCACAATGCAATTGTTAAATTAGTACATGTTGCAAAAGCACATGACACCAATGCTGTAGGTCAGTCACTGGCTTTCAAGAGGCTTCCAGTGGAAATCAAAGTGTTGGTTTGAATTTATAATGCAATTTACAATGCTACACAGAAAACACTCTTAGATCTAGGACCATGTTCTGCAGAATCAACTTAGTTTACTTACTGGCTAATATTCCTTATCTTTCTCATTGCAGTTGGGGCATGGGGTGTGCTGTATTTCTGTAGCAATGCTTAACCTTTGGAACATTGTTGTGTTCATAACCTAGCTACATCAATCACTTCAGTGAGCCAATGGCTTCCTTGAGATTTTGCTTCTGGATTTTTCTATTATTGACTTTTTGTGAGCACAAAAAAAAGACCTTCTAAACTTTGGCAGCTAAGTTCAGCAAATTGAGTAAACCTTTCCTAAACCTACTCATGGGATCCACGAAGAAGAAAAGCAATCATAATTCTGTCTGCCTTTTTCTTTGGCTCGCTTTCTTCTCACTTGGCTCAGTCATGATGATTGCATTGCTTGGACGTTGATCTTTGGCTTCTGGCAACTCTTTCTGTGTGTTTGGTTTAAACATTTTATTATGCAACTTTAAATCTGCTCTTTAGGCAGTCGGGCGAATGGCTTAAATGAGTTTTATTTTATTTTTTAATTAAAACTAAAAAAGAATATTGAAAATTGCACCAATAATGTATAATCTAAGGTGGAATGTATATTGTTTAAAAGTAATAAGGTAAGGAGAGTTTATTCTATTTTAGAATTAAAACACAAACCACCATATGTTGATTTGTATAGCTGATTCGAATAGAATAGAATAGAGAATGGAATGGAATGGAATGGAATGGAATAGAATAGAATAGAATAGAATAGAATAGAATAGAATAGAATAGAATAGAATATTTATTGATTTAGTCATTTGGCCATATCAGAACTATAAAACTAATACAAATATACAACTAGATGCAAAGAGAACAATAGGACATGTTCTCATAGCACAGTGGTGGCGAACCTATGGCACGGGTGCCAGAGGCGGCACTCAGAGCCCTCTCTGTGGGCACATGCACTGTCGCCCTAGTCCTTGGCCTTGAGCTGGGTTTTATAAAACCTTTTCACTTTAGGCCTCTGCTGCCGTGTGCAAAAAAAAAAAGTTCAATCAGTCAATTTCAACTTCTCGCGGGAAAAAAAAATCTTGCAAAGTTGGAATTGATTGATTGAACTTTTTAGTCCCACCCAGTCTGCTGTTACCACCGCAGCCACGCCCACCCAATGGGCCACACCCCCAATGGGCCACACCCAGCCAATGGGCCACACCCACCCGGCACCCGATGATGCATAAGTGGGTTTTGGGTTGCAGTTTGGGCACTCAGTCTCTAAAAGGTTTGCCATCACTGTCATAGCAAGTCATGACCCCTACATTTAACACCAATCTGGTCTAAACATTCCCTCCTCTTTGAAATGGCCTTTGAAATAAAGGGTCTGGCCTTAGTAATGATAAGCTGGTTTGTTCCTTGAAAAGAGTAAGACAGTATGTCCTGGATGCCCTGGTTTTTTAAGTTTTTAAGTAAGAATTTAAATAAGCAGCCCCTTCTGCAGAATATAGTCTATAGTCAGAAAGAATATATCTTCAACAACTGGTGCTCCACAAATACAGTCTTTCTTCGAACTAAACTCCAAGAAACCTCCCATATCTTACCATGAGGTCTAGCTGTTCAAAAAAATGTGCTCTAGAAAATGCTATTCTGAGATATAAAAATAAAATAAAAAGAAAAGAAAAAATAATAGAAAGTGCAGATAAGACAAAATAGAAAGAAAAATAGGAAAAAAAAGAACAAATAAGAACATAGTAAAAAAAAGAAGAAATATATAAAGAAATGACTTGCCACTGTCTTCTAATCTCCTTGCGAGGAGTAACTGTGTGGAGCACTTGTGTGCAATCTCAAATCATCTCTTTATCCAGAGAGGAATTTAAGCTATTTTCCAGCTCTTCATTCCACTGGGGTCATTGGTTCTCCTTTTATTAGAGATGTCTTCGGTTCACCATTTGTTCCTTGGAAGTTGAGACCTCATATGGTTAAACTTGGAAGTTAGATTTATTTCTTATGTCCCATAAGAAATAACGATTGCTTGGCTCCATAATATCCTACTATGCCAGGGTCAAGATCTTCAGAATTGGAACATTTAATAGCTGAAAGCTTGTAAATTTGCAACTTTTCAAAGTTCAAGCCAACTTTTCCTTGGATACCCTTGTTCCACCTTTCACAATATGATATTTTCCAGTTGTGTTGGACTGCGGTGTCTTTCAATCACCAACAAATATAGCTCAGAACCAACTCTGCTTCTCGGTGTTTGTTATTCAAAGTCAGTAGTTAACAGAGATTAATCTGGATGTTAAAACAGATTTACTCTTCAGTTGCCAAGTTCACAGTACTCTTGCTCTAGCCCACCCACCAAGGATGTTTTAGGCCAAACAGAGTTCCTTAAAGGATTCTTTGCTCTCCCTTTCCCCAGCCCTGTATTGAAGGGTTCACAAGATCTAGTAGCAACTTCGTTTTATGACTTTAAAACAACTTTCCCCAGCTTGATGTGCTCCAGATGTGTTGGACTACAATTTTCATGGTTCCCACCCAGGATGATCTAAGGCTGTGTTTTCCAACACATCTGGAGGGCATCAGGATAGGGAAAGTTTAGCTAGGAATTTTCATGGACTGTAAAGCAGTAGGATGGCCAGCCATATTGGAATCAGCTTTGGAAAGACGGGTGAGAAATTAAATAAGATTGCTTGGAAGCAAAGTTGGAGAATATCTGCAGCATTAAATATTACTATTGTTAGGAATATAGTGAGCAGTATGGCTTTCAACCCTGTGGAGGTTTTATATGGGTCTCACCTTTTTTTGATCCATTGCATTTATCTCTATCCAATCTTTCCAAATCTCAACCTCTCTGCATATTTTGATTGACTGGAGTAGGGAAAGTTTAATATGTACTCAAGCAAAATCTCCCAGGAAGACATTCGCTGCTTTCCCATCATTTTTATCTTCACCTTCACCAACTGTTCTTGAAACCTGGTGATTTTGATAATTATTTTGTATTTGTAGCAAAAACAGTTTACTAATTCTAGCTAACTTTCCCCCTCCCCGCCCATTTATAGAAGAGCGTGGTCACTGGGCTTTCTAACACTGTCCTTCATTCTGATACTTCTCACTCTTTCCTTCATTTATCCTGCCTCCCTTATTTCCTTATTTATTTATTTATTATTTAAATTTATATACCGCCCTATCTCCCTTACGGGACTCAGTGCGGTGAACAGGCAATAATAAAAATCACAATAAATATTGAATAAAAAGCCTGCTCTAAAATACCCCATATAAAACCCCTAGCAAAGCCCAATCAAAACTACGCCAGGCCGGCTGCATGGAATAGATGGGTTTTCAAGGTTCGGCGGAAGAGGCGCAGGTCCGTAGTTGTACATAGGTTGGGGGGTAGGTCATTCCAG